TTTAGAACTTCAAGAATAACAAAATTTGTACACCATGCTACACAGATCCAAGCTCTACAATGAAATACTTGGAATATGTCAGCCAGTTTCTTATAACTGACGAGGAACTGAGGACCTGTTGAGGACCTGCAGAATCCTCCCGTACCGAAAGTTTGACATTATGCGGGTTCTCATTCAGGTACTTGGTAGGGACACGCGTGGAAGAATTTGAATTTCTCTGGCGGGCTCTTGCCCAATTTCGATACGCCACGCGACTCAAATCGACGCGTTACAGGTAATACGCAAGTAGAAGAGGAAACGCGGTATGGGCACTGGAATGAATACAACATATTCCCTTTCACCATTCAGAAACGATTGAGAAATTGGAGAGTCACTTTCAAAATGGCAATATAATGTATCTGATTGCTAGCGGGGGTTTATACATGCAAATGAGTATTAAAACTGTTTGATTGGTCTTTAAATCGATGTCCTGTGTATGAAATCGTTGGGAAAACAACGCTGGAGTTACCGTTTCCCTGGTGGGATATCTAAGGAAACAAATGAAATAGGAGCACACTTTTGTCTCATTGACCATTAACATTTTTCATCTTGATCTCAACATCTTCTGGATGAGCTCTAAGCCATTGTAGATGATCTGTGACTTTCTTGCACCATAGTTGTGGTGCGTGTAATCCTTGTATGACTATATCTCCATGGTTACACAGTAGCCATTGCATGGATTCCCAGATCTTGGCCTCAGCATCAAATCCTAACTCCTCGTGAAGATAATGGGAATACAGTCTTCTTTTGTTACCTGCAGTGTCATGGATCTTTCTGAATCCATTACCATCAACCTGCCATGGGTATAGCTTCGGCTGATTACAATGCAAGAACATCGTCTCAGATTCTTTGTACTTATGCATAGGGTAGTTGTTCTTCCTTCTGTTGTAGACCCACTTGTCATATTTATACTTCTCAGGCTCCTGACCTTGCAGGTAGTCTAGTATCGGGTCGTACTGTCCCATGGCGTTGATATGGAACTCGTATCCGCCAATTACTTCACCATACTCCCTGATATATTCTTGGACAACGTAATATGGAAGCCCTAACTTATGGGCTGCTGCTAAGAATGTCTCCTTATCGCCCTCGCCTGCTTGTCCTTGGGAGAACAATCCGTAATAATACCTTGGTCCAAAGAAGTTGTAGTATAAAGACAGGAAGATGGCCTTCGCATGTGTTTTCTTGTTAATCATAAGCTGCCCGGTCTCTGACGA